ACTCGCTTTCAGATGCTTTCTGAGCCAGTCCAATAAGATGTCAGGTTTCCAATGTGATCACACTAGGGAACAGGGCAGTCTTCCTGAGGAAGGACCTATTTATCTTACATAACCGACACAGAACTTCATAGATTTCAGGCTCTTCTGCCTGAAAGAGCTGTATGTCTTCAAAACAAGTTATTAACATAACCTTTAAAACAGAGAGTTGTGAATAAGACTTATCAGAACAGTGTTTCCCTTAAGGGTTGCTACTGCACATAGACAATTAGTGCACAGTACAGCATTATGAATATCCTTAGTGGTGTCAAAATTTCGCTTTTTAACAGGCACATGTGATTTCTAGACACTGCCAAAATTTATTGGCTGGTGTGATATGAGGCAAGGGTTCAAACAATATTTAGAATATGTATGTAGGTTGACTTTCTGATGTGGCTCAGAAATACCTACAGCTGTAGTGTCACTGGAACAGGACCCGACACCCTGAGTTCATGGCACGCAACTGAAACTGAGCTCAGGAAGGGCATGTGAGACGTGTGCAGTGGCTTCGGTTTGTAGTCCTGCTGCCCTGTGTGCTGAGAACCCCTCAGGTGGAAGGGATGTAACTTACTTGTTTTTGGAGAGGTTTTTGCTATGGGGCACATGTGCTTGCCAGAAAGACAAAGAGAAAAGCAAGAAATCACCCTCCAGGGGGGATGGCCACACCACAATCCCTTCTCCATTCTCCTCTCAGGATCTTGCGCATGCACACACACACGCCTGGCCTGAGTTTAAGCCCGGGTCCAGGACTCGAACCACGGTTGACTACATGGGAATTCAGTGACATAGCCATTACGCCAACTTGCTGGTCCCTATTTATTTTTAAAGTGTCTTACCTCACTCTTTGAAAAAAGGAAAGGGAAGAAAATTAAAACTTTGATGTATCCCAAAAAGCAATCCATACCTGAGAGCATGAACTCTTTGCTTTGTCTGCAGTCTCTTCAGCAAAACGTCCCCAGAAAATACCTTTTTCCTGTTTCACACGTTCCACTTTGGCAGCTTCAGTTTCATCAACAAATCCTGTCTGAAACCAAGTAAATATCGATAGGTTAAACTCCACTAGCTATCAAAGGGTACTACAATGCAGAAAGTCCAGATAGCAATCTGCATTTGTGTTGAAGTGCTGGGTTAGCCTGCGAAGCAGGCAGACCGTAAATTAGTTGGACTCATCTGTGATTGCTTCCTCCTATCAGTGTAGTCTGTACAAAACCATTCCACAGTGTTCTTCCCTACAGATTTCTGTGGAGTCCTTTCTCCAGGAGGAGGGTAGTCTACCAGCTTTCCTCCTGCTGGTAGCAGCAGTGCTATGTGCACATAAAATCCAGCTTACATCTGTGAGGTGTGAATAAAGTACGGAAATGAGTGCAGGGTATTAGCATGCACTGCCTGTACCATATGTGAGTATGAGATTATGTGTGACCCAGTACAGTGGGCACAGCCGAATGCACTCTCCTGGCGCTGTGCTGTGGTTTAGCAGCGCTCTGTTAGCACTTCCCTTAGGCCTCCACTGGCACCCTAGCTCCATCCCCCCCCAGAAATTGCAAGTTATGCACAAATCCAAAAGCCCTTTGATTTAAGATTTTGGTTATAGAACAGTAAAAACAACTTTAAAAATGTCAGTCTTGGGAACCAGCAGTTTAATGGCTATGTCGCTGGACTCCCACGTAGTCAACTGTGGTTCGCGTCCCGGACCCGGTGGCTTAGAATTCACACCGGGTGCGTGTGTGTGCGTGCCCAAGATCCCGAGAGGAGAATGGAGAAGGGATTGCGGTGTAACCATCCCCCTGGGGGGTGATTTCTCGCTTTCTGTCTCTGTCTCTCTGTCTGGCGAGCGCATGCGTCCTATAGCAAAAACCTCTCCAAAAAAAAAAAAAAGTCAATCTTAGGAAAAATAGGTTCTGGCCTTCATCACCATAGAAAGCTCCTGTCTCTGTCTCTCTCTGTCTGGCGAGCGCATGCGCCCTATAGCAAAAACCTCTCCAAAAAAAAAAAAAGTCAATCTTAGGAAAAATAGGTTCTGGCCTTCATCACCATAGAAAGCCATGCCTAAATGATGCCTAAGATATGCTAGTAAGCATGGTCTGTCAAACTTCTCTCCCTGTCAGGAACACCTAATGATGATGAGCAACAACTCGGGGATCCTCACTGGTCACCTCACCCTGGACTCTCAGTGCTGCTGTCCCAAGCTCCAGGCAGTGACTCACGTGTTTCACTCTATAGCTTGCAATGTGACCTTCATTGCTTAGAGACCATCTGTGACAGCCCTGTGCTGGTCACTAAGAAACATTCAAGATGATACTCAATTTAAAAAAAAAAGGTAACAGGATAAAATCGTTTAAACCGGGTTAGTAAATAAAATACCTTTTCCAGGAAGGATACAACTTTGTTCTTAGTTTCTTCAGAACTGAGACACTGTGGAACTATCTCTTCATGATTTGTTCCCTATAAAAAGATTGATAGGACCAATCTTAATATATTTTAGCAACTTAGGAAGACACATACATGTGTTTTAAGAGCCACCTCCATCAACTCATGTTCAGAGAAATACCCAGTGACAGAGGTCCCTTATAGACAAATCCCCGGTCCTCTCGGGTCTCTGCTATGAGAGTGATCTCAGCCCAAGGTCGGCGGTGCCAGCTTTCCTGGCTTCTTCACTGGCTCAGCCGTGTCGGTGCTCCTGGGCGCCTGTGACCACGGCTTAACTGCCCAGCCCTTGACGGAGAAATGCAGCAGCCATGGCAGGGCTCACTGCTCTGCAAAGCAGTGCTGGGTTCACAGCCTACCTTCACAAGGCTCAAGATAACATCTTTTTTTTTTTTCAATAAAATATAGTCAAAATCCACAATTACATTCATAAAAATTCCACACATCATCCTCAGAACGATCAGTTTACGGGTGTCCAGTGTGGCTTTCCCTCATGCTGCGGAGTCGAGAGGTTTCCCCAAATCAAGTGCAGAATCAGTTCGTCCCTCAGTTTCTACAGTGACCACAACACTACCACCTGCTGTGATGAATAACCCTCGGACCACTGTTGTACCCGCAGTGGCCTGGCCAAAACCATTCAATGTTCCCACAATCACTTTCCCACCAGAAGAAAGAATGGCAGCAGTTCTTTCTGTGTGGCAGTGTCTGTTGTTTCAGAACAGTTGGGATGTTTGGCACTGTTTTACTTAGCTGCCAACTTGACTTTAGGCATGACATTTACCCCTTTCTTAAACCCTCTAAGATGACAATTGGATGAGTGCTAAATTAATTGATGTTGGATGATCTCAGGGAGTTAAGACGCTGTCTCCCAGGACCTGGCTTCCTGCACTAGAACGTGAGCAACAGCGAGAACTGCGCATTCTGTCAGTAAGCTGAGACTTCAGGTTCGGGCAGACATTCAGCTGTGGACTACCTTTAAACGTTTGCTGTTGTCAGACAGTAAGCAAAGCCGGCCCCTCTCCAGTGCTGACACCTGCCTGGCCGCGGCCCCGCCGAGGCCCACACAGCCCGACTGAGGGTGCGGCTGACCTAGCTGTCCAGGCTGGATGCTTTGCAACAGAGATAAAATGTGTATCATGAATCCACTGGCCACCCGGACTGAGTGCCTTCTTTGGTCCTTGCTAATCAGAGGACCCGGGAAGGGGAAGGCACTTCATTTCTGTAGGCCTCATGCTGTGATCCCTGGAAAGAGAGGATTAGTACTATCCCCTCTGGCAGAAAACTTACAAATAAGCTGGAGAAGCCGCTCAGATGGCAAGAATGCTTTAGAGAACTACCACCAGTCAGATTTCAGAGGTTGGCACCATCAACCCTCCCACAGATACCTCTGCAAACTCAGTGAATGCCTCCAAGGCATGTTGTTCTAGCAGCCACGTCCTGTCAGTCAACAGTGAGGCGAGGACACGCGCCAGGCTGGGCAGCATTCTGTCCTAAGGAGAGAGTCAGCCCTTGTTAAACGGAGCAACGAAGTCCCAGTAGCCTCCATCTGACACACCAGGTCGCCCCGTTTCAGGGGCCCTGTCTGGGGCAGGTGGGATTGGTCGCACTGGCCTTGTAGCAGCTCCTCCTTCCCTCTGCAAAGGCCCTGCGCCCCCGCTGGCTAGCCAGGTCACATCAGGTACCTGCTCTGGGAGCCCTGGCCCTAGTGGTTTCCCAGCTCAGAAGATCTCTCCAGACAGCTGTGTGGCTTGCTCCCTCACCTTCAGGTTTTTACCTTCTCGTCATCTTGCTGAGGACTCCATGACGACACCCCATTTTCACACAGCACCCCATACACTGTCCCCCATACACATACACCCCATAACTCTGTCCCCCTCTATTCAGTAGGTGACAAACCACATGATTGACTGCCGTCTCCCCACAGGCAAGGCGGGGACCTCCCAGCTCAGTTCCCTACTGTGCCATCAGTGGTCAGAACATTTGAAACAGAGCTCTGATCTTTCTTGAAGGGGTAAAGGCATCAATCTGATCTCATGGCTCTAAAGCCTCCAAACGTCTTTGGGCCTGACCTCACCTCGTGGAACATATGAGGAACTGTAATTTCTGTTGATAGATATTTGTTCCATAGGCTCTAGGCCCATCAGGGTTCACAGCTGCAAACAACGAAGCAGCGTTTTGGAATAAACTTACATTATGGCAAAAGAGTACAGCTCACGTGCCACTATCTTCGGATACTCTGGCCAGGAGAGCTGAAGAGGAGCTGTGAATGCCTACACTTGGGAAATGCAGCCTTATGTGGTGGACAGAGATGACAGATACAGGGCCGTTTACTTGTGAACAAATAAAAAGAGCTCTTTAGAAATTAATCAAGTTAAATTTTGGGTTTCAAAAAAAATGTTTTAAGAGAGTTTTTGCTATACAGTGTGTGCACTTGCTGGAGAGAGAGAAACCACCCCCGTGGGGCACGGGGACGGCCATTACAATCCCTTCTTCTCCATTCTCCTCTTGGGATTTTTGGGCATGCATTTACACGTGCCCAGCGTGAGTTTTAACCCCCTGGGTGCAGGACTCGAACTGTAGTCAACTATGTGGGAGTCCAGCAACTTAACCATTATGCCATCTGTTGGTCCCCAGCTTCAAAAAATTTTAATCATGGGACCAGCAATTAGCGTAATGGCTATGTTGCTGGACTCCCATGTAGTTGACTGCAGTTCGAGTCCTGGACCCGGTGGCTTAAACTCATGCCAGGCGTGTGTGCATGCGTGCCCAAGATCCTGAGAGAAGAATGGAGAAGGGATTGTGGGGTGGCCATCCCCCCAGGGGGGTGATTTCTCGCTTTTTGTCTCTCTGTCTGTCTCTTTCTAGCACGTGCATGTGCCCTATAGCAAAAACCTCTCCAAAAAAAAGAAAAAAAAAAAAAGATGGCCTCTTAAAAGATTTCAAAAAAATTTTTAATCGTGTACTTGGTTATTATCCATGTATGACTTGTTATTATCCATGTATTACATAGCAGAGTTCTCATCAGTGAGCTCTTTTGTAGACTCCCTTGGAGATTTAAAATACAATGTCAATTATCCAGAATTGTTGGATTTTTTACTACTGTAATAAGGCACAACTCTCAACTTTGCTGCTTCTGCTATGAGGTCTGTCTTTAAAATTCAGTAGATGTACAGTGCCAGGCCATCACAGTTCAACCTGACAAATAGCCACTCGTCAATTACACAACCTTTGTAACTATTTCAAATACTTTCAAAACAGGCTCCTTTCATTGGTATAAAACCAAGACATTAACTTCAGTAAATTACCATATTTTCTCATCATATCCTGTTTCTTCACTAGCAGAAATAATATTTCATCCTCAGGAGCTCTGTGTGCTGTAGCCCACCAGGGTGGGAATCTCATTACAGCCACCCTAATAAGCCATCTGCAAGCCAGCATACGGTCTGCACGGAAATAACTGACAGTCAGCTGTTCTGACAGTCATCCTCTCTTTAGAAAGTACATTCCCGCCCCCAACTTTGTCAGTAACCACAGAATTTCAGAAATCAAAGCCTAAAACTCCCTTTGTCACTAGCTCTCAGAGATTTTGCTTTTAGTCACACCGGGACTGGGAGAGAGCAGTACCTGGACAGCCTGAGGTATGAAAAGCTTCCCCAGAGAAGACAGGAAATCCAGCACTGCCAAGCGGACGTGGTCGGGGGGTTCTAATTCAAGCAGTGAGGCCTGCAGGGTTACAACCTACAGAGGTCAGACCAAAGAACAGTTAGGGAGGGCAACAGAGCAGGGTAGACAACGTGACTGTCCAGGATGAGGATGGGCACGTGGAGAGCAGAAACAAGCAGGACCCAGAACAGCCAAACACCCACGAAGCCTGACCCTAACAGGTGGAGCCTGACAACACAAACCAATGAGTCAATCATTACTGCATCCCAACCACACTCCCTGCCTACCACGTAAAAAAAAAAGTGAAAAGTGCTCCTGAAAAACCTTCTATACCAAACCTCTAAAAATTATTTTGTATTTTGGGGCAAGCATGTGGCACAGTAGTAGGGATGCTAGAATCCCACATGGACGATCATGGTTCAGGTCCCAGGCCTGGTGGCGTAAAATATCATGCTGGGTACATGTGTATGTGTGAGTGCGTGCTCAAAATCCCAAGAAGAAAACGGAGGAGGGGGGCTGCAATATGGCCATCCCCTCAAGGGGGTGATTTCTCACTTCCTATCTCTCTGGCTCTCTCCAGTGAGCATGCATACACCCTATAGCAAAAACCTTATATATATATATATTTATTTATTTATTTATAATTTGTATTTTAAGTATTATCAAGAGAAGTTCATTATTTATAGCAAGGCAAGGACTGGAGGGGTCAGCAGGTGACAATTAAGCTACTTGGATTCACACATGGCCAACTGCAGTTTGAGTCCCAGACCTGGCACCTTGAGTGTCATGTTGGCTACATGTGCGTTCATGCCTAAAATCCCAGGAAGAAAATGGAGAAGGGACTGTGTCACTTTCTCCTCTTAACATAGTTTTTGTTTCTGTTTCCTTCCTGACTTTAAGCTTCAGCTACTCTTGATTTGGGGGATCATTCTGCCCAGTGTGGACTCAATCCAGAACCTCTAAATCACTTCATGGAGGATGAGGCCTTTCCCGTTTTCTCCAAACAAAGGCTGTATGAGGTGTCACTGCAAGGCCCTGGTCCACCCCAGGATCTGCCTGGGCTAGCCCTGTGAGCTGGGCAGAAGTTTCAGCAGGGCTCTTCTTCCAAAATAACCTTAGTTCTTCAAAGACATAAAAGGGTCATCCTTAATCCACACTGGTCATAGTCCACATGCTGTCTTGCCAAAATGCCTCGAGATGCTACAACTGCAGGCCCTTCACTGGAGCTGAGTTTCCCTCAGGGACTTTTCCTGGGCCATGGGTGAGCAGCTGCAGCAGTGCTGTGCAGCATCGGGTGGCAGGGAAGGGGAGGCTGAGAGCAGCCGGGTACACTAGCAACATTACTGCACAGACAGGCGTCCTGGGTGGAGGCCACTGAGGCTATGACCTCAGTGAAGAAGGGGCAACAAGAAACAGCAAAAATCCTAGAGAGTTATTTTAGGTGATAGCAGTTTTAACAGCCTCCTCAAGCAACTTGGTCATAATTCTTACCTGATTTACCAGCTGAAGATCTAGAGTTTGAATGAAGAATCCCAACAGTGGAAGTAAAAGGCTGAATGTCTGCTGAACAGAAGGCTGGTTTGCTACCTTAAACAAGAGGCATGGAACAACTTTAGTGAAAAACTTCAGTTACATGTGTAGCTGTAATAGCAGTAGCTTTAACTGAGCATTTACTATATCCCAGGCAGTTGCTAAGTGCTCTATATGCATTACCTCACTCCTGCCTTACAGTCACCTTATGAGGTAGCTATTTTTGACCTCACCTTACTAACAAGCAAACAGGATCAGAAAGGAAAAAACTGGGTTCAAGATCTCATGGCTGGGCCAGCTGTGTGGACTGGTAGTTAAGTGAGTCAGATCCCATATGGCTAACCATATACTTCAAGTCCCAGACAGGGAGCTTGGAAAACATGCTGGGTACCATTAGGGGTGTCTTCTCCCTATACCTCTCCGTCTCTGGTGAGTACACATGTCCTCTGGCAATAAGAAAAAAGAAAGTGGGCGACTAAGAAAAAGCACAGCCATGACTCAAATGCAAACCTAACTCTCTACCAGGACCTGATGACCATCTGCTGCAGAGAAGCTGTGCCCTGCTGTAACTACTGCTATGTGGCGCTGGTGAGAGCTCCTCCTCTAACAGGCACCCTGCATGGAAGCATCTTGAGTCCTGTAGCAGTGCATTGTGACCAAACACCGACGTCAGCAAGACTTCATCTACAGAGTCACTTCTCCTGTCCCTGAAGTATGGACGTGGCCTTGAGCTTCCACAAATAAAACGAGTGCATCTAGATTTTTAAAACGAGGAACCTAAATTTACAAACAATGGAAACAACATCGTATTTTAATTAAGAAGTATGAAACTTAAGTATGGCCAAGTTTTGAACACTTACCAACAAAATGTTACTTTAACTTCTCTTAAAATTCCACATAGCAGTTTGGTTTGCTACCAACTACATACCCCCAGGCTGGGCCCAGAAAAATGTATTAAGACCCCAGCAACACAGAAGCAGCCCACATTAACACAGGAGGGGACAGGAACAGCACAGGAAGAGATTTTAAAAATAGGATCCCATGAAAATCAAGAAAATGGGTACTTGGACTGTTACTGCCACTCACTAGATTCTAATTTTTTATAGACCACAGATTAGTTTATTTTTAACACCCATCATGCCATGAATTTATAGGGAATCGGTTCCAGTAGCTCAGGCTCCTTTCCATGGGTTCTCACAAAGTGTGCTTCTCTGGGTGGAGCAGGCTGGTGCTTTAGTTGAACCCAGGGACCTTTCTCTTTGGCTTCTTTCTTTTTCTGGTCATTTTCCTTCACATGTTTTAGGAAGCTATCTCTGCTTTTAAAATGCTTCATATGCTCAATATGCACATTGATTCTCTTGGCAAGAATCTTGCCCTTGTTTGTTCACAACAATGCTAACAGCATGCTGGGTAACATTGTAAACTCTTCCAGGTGTGCCATGGTAACATCTGTGGGACACTCCTTTTTGAACAGTACCCATTCCCTTAATGTCTACAATATCACCTTCTTTGTAGAATTGCATATATGTTGCCAGAGGAAAAACTCCATGTTTTCTAAAAGGCCTAGAGAACATATATCGGGTGCCTCTCCTCTTTCTTTCTGTGTTCATCGTTTTGGTTTTGGTTAATTACTGGAAGATGGCGGTTCCAGCCCCCCAAAAAGCACTAGATTCCAATTTTATAACACAATGCTGTCACTCTGGGAGAGAACGAACTGAGAGGGGACAACTGGGTATTTTAATTTCTAATCATAAATTCTAACAAGCACTTTAGGAAATTAGGTAAATTTTACTCTACAGAGACATTACTCTTCCTTTTAAATGTTATTTATCCTTCATGAAAATGATCAGTTGTTTTCTTTACCTGTTTAATGTTTAAAAAAGCCCAGAGCTGACTCCCGACTTCCACAATTGCAGTGTGTTGCCCACCATCCAGCACGTCACCAGCAGAATGACACACAGCGAGCAAGGCAGAAAGCCCTGTGTTCTGTGGGAAAGCCGGAAACAGACGCCCAGTCACCTACAGGTTGCAAGTCTGTGTAGAAGAACTTTCTACGAGCCAAAGCCATCTTTTTAAACTATTTCAATACGAATATATTTTATTGAAATGAGTTTTCTTTATACACAGAAACATCTTCATTTTTCTAAATAAAGGTCAATGTTTTAATATCATGCACCCAGTCATCTTCATAGGTTACTAGGTTTTTGTTGTCCCTGCTGTTTAGTATTTAAAATGCCTCAGCAAGACTGCATTTAATAGCAAATATGGCCCTTAAAATACACTAGAATTTGAAACAGAAACATCGCTTTCTGTACTTATTTTTACCGGTATGCGAAGCTATTCAAGTCCATCAGCTAGGAATGTGGCTGTGGTATGTGGGTGGGTACAGCGCAGGAGGCTAAGGTGAGGCTACATTAAGAACCTATGGAGTCAGCAGGTGGTGTGGTGGTTAAAGCGTCGTATTCCCACATGACTGACCATGGTTTGAGGGCTGGACTTAGTGGCTTGAAATTCATGCCAGCTGTGTATGCGGCATGCCCAAAACTCCAAAAGAATGGAACAGAAGGGACTATGGTGTGGTCAAACCCCCCGGGGGATGAGTGCTTACTTTACCTCTCTCTGTTTCTCTCCAGCAAGTGCATGTGCCTTACGGCAAAACCTTAAAAAGAACCTACTGATGAATAATATGCCTTTCAACCGTTCTGTTGGACTATTGGAAAAGTCATATTTTTTTCTATGCAAAAATACATCAGAACTTTTCTAATAACCCCATACTTCAACAACCACTTAGTATTTTTTCTTTTTAAATTTTACTTAACTTTTATTTATCATTTTTTCCAGAAAGAGACAGAGAGAGTGAGAAAGAGAAAGTGAAAAAGCAAGTCTCTAGGTCCAAGACTCAAACCAGGATCAGCCATGTGGGAGTCCAGCGCCCTTAACCACCACGCCACCTGCTGGCTCAGTTTTATATAATTACTTTAAATGTTTCATTTAAAATTTCCTTTTTTTTCCTTTAGTTTGCTAACAGGTCATGGAAGCTCACCAGGTAGAGAGAGAGGTTAAGTGAGAAATCACTCCCCGGGGGGCCATGCCACAATCCCCTCTCCTCCATTCTCCTCTTGGGGTTTTGGGCACACACGCACACATACCAGGCATATTTTTCAAGCCACTGGTCCAGGACTCAAACTTTCAGTTAGCCACGTGGGAGTCCAGTGCTTTATCTTCCATGCCATCTGCTGACCCAGAAGATGTTTATCTTCATAACAGAAGCTGATACACATTAAATGCAAGCCCTCAACAAATTTAACCCACTTCTAACTGTAGTCTTCCCACAATAAAAGCATATTTTCTTTAGATGTGTGTTTTAAATACCTTGATTACGGTTATATGCCATTTCATAACTGCATATCAAAACGTTTACACTTTATATGGAAATAAACGCCCTGAGAAAACCCAGAATTGAAAATAGGCTCTCAACCCTGGGATGCCCTGTCCTTGTTCTTGCTTGATTTTTTTCAGTTACCATAAACTGATAAAATTTTGTTTGTTTTCTTTCTGATAATCCTTTCTGCCTAGAACAGAACTCGGCATGTAAGAGCATAGAAAATACATTTGTTGAATGAATGAATGAATAAGGAAATGAACGCTAACCTGGAAAATTCAACCTGGAAAATTCTACTGCGTATAGTAGAGGAGTCCGATTTTACTCCACATTATATGAGGGAACATTCTTTTTTTTTTTCTTTAGGAGAGGTTTTTGCTACAGGGTGTGTGTGCTCGCCAGAGAGACAGAGATAGAGAAATAGAAAGCGAGAAATCACCCCCGGCGGGGATGGCCACGCCGCAATCCCTTCTCGTCCATTCTCCTCTTGGGATCTTGGGCACGCTGGCAAATGCGCCTGGCGTGAGTTTAAGCCACTGGGTCTGGGACTCAAACCATGGTCGACTACATGGGAGTCCAGCAACATAGCCATTACGCTAACTGCTGGTCCCATATGAGGGAACATTCTAAGTAGAATGGTACATAAAAGTTCAGAGGTGGTTTACAGAAAATAGGGTTTGACTCTGTAAATAGAAGAGTCACTCATGTCTGTAACTAAGATGGTACAAACACTAAAAATAAAATATTTCATAATGTGTTTTTTTCTGTGTCACTTACACCATTCAAGACAATGGTGAGGCCAGCAGCGGCATAACGGCTAAGGCGCTCGACTCCCCCAGGGCCAGCCACTATTTGAGTCCCAGCCCCAGCATCGTGCCAGCCCATGTATGTGCCTGCATGCATGCCCAGGGTCTCAAGAAGAGAACAGAGAAGAAATTGTGGTGTGACCCCCCGGGGGCTGGTTTCTCAACTCTCCTCACCATCTGTCTCTTCCTGGAGCACATGCACCCTATGGCAAAAACTTTAAAAAAAAAGAAAAAAGAAAAGAAAACGATAACCATAAGTTCCTCATAGCTCTTCTTACAACGCAGAAGTATGAACATCTTGCTAGGTTCTAACCTAGAGAGGGCAGAGACTACATCACCCTCAACTCGTAACAACCCGTCCCAGTACCTACAATAGTGCTCAACTGACAGCTACTGAGTGAATCAAAATGACCATACCAGGGACTGGAGCTCCCCCAGAGAGTGGCCGCCGCTGAGGCACTTCCTGCACTGAGCTGTGCCCGCGTGGGCCAC